TAACCATGGTCATTACTGGTAAACTTTAATTGTATTTACCAGTCAACTTTTTTAAACTATTTCCCATTCATCATTCCTGTCGTTTTCAATCTTATTAAAAGGAATAACATTTTTAGTGGCATTAGAAGGTTCAAATGTTGTAGATGAACTATCTTGTATTTTTTGGACTTGTTTAGGAGTGGCATCGGAACATTCCTCACTATGCATAAACTCAAATAGATCTTGTTCTTGACTATCAGCTAACATCTTTAATTTATCCTTCTCCTTTTTAAGAATGTCGTAAAGGACACCAATTACACGGTTAGCAACATCAAGTGCATTATTGGTTTTAATTCTAACATTCGGATTTTCGTCATCGCCATTAAGAATTTTATCATTTGAACCAGAAACTTTTAAGAGGGATTTAAATTGAGATTTTAAATCATCAGTGGTTTCATGATTATTTTCCGTATTAGTATCTTTTTCAAATAGAATTTTTAAATTCTCAATATTTGAAGTTAATCTTTCTTCTTTCTCTTTAAATTGTTAAAAATATTAGGTATGGTTTCAAAATCCGATAAACCTCAACGCCCTCCTATAAGATTTTCCGAAATAAGTTTGAATCGGAATTTCTCCGTTATAATTCTCCGTTACAATTCTCCGTTATTATTGCAAATGTTAATCCTTCTAATATCGTCATCTCTTTTATCATCGGAAAAGTAATTGCACGTTAGATAGTATATTTACAGTAATAAATAAACCAACTTCTTAGCTCTAAAGATCTTACAACATTATTTAAATCCATCTTTACTGTGTTTAAAATATACTGATAAGCATAAGCATATTATTATTACCTACATTCTTTATTTTAATAGAATAAAATGGCAAATTATTTTGAGAGTGGAAATAATTTAGTCTCTGCAACTTTAAGAACTAAGTTAAATAGCTTTGATATTTCTATTCCTAATCCAGTACGACGATTACCCTTATTTATTAACCATGCACAATCAACTGCATTAAAAAAAAAATTGCAAGATCAACTGAACGAAAATACTGCACAAATACAATTAACTGCTGACTTAAATACTGAACTTGCAAAACGACGATTAGAACTAGAAAGGCAAATAAAAGAGTTAGATAAAATTGAATTTAATGAAATCCCTCAAGGATTAGGAAGTAATCTAATTGACGTAGAAAAGCCAACGGCTTTTTCAACTACGTCATCAGGCAGAGGCTCAAGACGTGATCGTAATACGGCAAAAGGTCATCAAATAGGTATAGAGTTTGCTACGGAAATAGGTCAAGGTTTATTACAAGAGGTTAAGCGTCTACAAACTCTATTACATGAAAAAGAAGCAATAACAAAAGGATTAGAGGCTGAAAAAGCTGAATTAGAACGAACCGTCGAACAACTTAATAAAAATTTACGAGCACATCAAGAATCCAAAGGTATAACTAATTTTAAATTTAAATAGTTTAATACGTATTTGGGGGTCGTCTAAAGCCAGGTGTGTTCACGTGACCAACAGCCAATCAAATAATAAATTTTGATTTACCCGGA